TTATATTCACATTCGCTCATGCACTTACATTCAAACAGGTTATTTTGATGCACTTTATTATGTATATTATTATTCTCAATGTATAACTTTACGCATATTCGTTATATTTTTGCTTTCAAATAACTTCCCTCTCGTTGGTCCTGACTGAAAACCAGCGCGTTAGGAAACTTTGGCATGTGCTGAGTAGGCGTCGTTTCACTGATATGATAATCAGGTTTGTTTTTTATTTTATGCTTAATCTGTATGTGTGTTATATCAGTGAATAAAGTGTTTATCTATCTATTTATCTATAAGTTTCATATGCCTGTAATTTCACCAGCACCCTTAACCCTTCTAAACCGGAACGCAGTAATGCTCACAATAGTGCTTGGCGGCAGAAATAGGTAAGGTGGCAGTACTTCCCTGGACGACTATTCACAAGGAGTTCTACTGCTCCCTAAATGATTTATTTATTATTATTGTTATTTTTATTATAATATATCTCGATTTTATCAATCGTTACTTTATTAGCGATCAATTGCGTCAATCTATAAAATGTAAATATCATCTGCTCCTAATACATTTACTCGATTTTGTCTGATCTTACTTGTCGATCATCTACAATTCGAAAAGTCTGTACACTTTTAAATGTAAACATTATTTAGTTGAAGGAAAGGTTCTTGTGAGAAACTTCGTACATGAAAATACTGCCATTATACTTATTTCTGTTGCCAAGCAGTAATGTGAGCATTACTGCGTTCCGGTTTTGAAGGGTAAGTCTGCTGGTCAAACTAAAGGCACATGGGACTTGTGAACTACGTTTCACGATGAAAGGTGCAATGATAACTTAAAATCGAATAACTATCTTCAATATCTAATAACTTAAAATCTATTAGTGTTAAGAGATTAGTGTCATACGTTTGTAACGTTTTAGTTACTTTGTTTTTTAAATTATATTTGAAACAACAGCTATCACGGCCATATTATTATCTTAAAACTGTCTACAAGACTAAATCTTGCTCTTGAAATGGTCTAGTAGCAAACTAGAACGGTTAACAACAACACAAATAACTAAAGTTCCGTCACACTTCGCTAGATGGCGTTGACCAATTTCTAAAACACGATGTCAAGATTTTCCCTAGAAGAATGATGGCGTTTGGGTTATAACTTACTTACTTCCTTATTTGAATTCAGATCTCCTTTTAAACCGATCAAACTCAATCAATACCCATTATTTAGTAAATAGGTTATTCTGTTAGTACTGGTTGTTGCTGTACAGCTGCATCCTACTTGAAATGCGCCGCATGAGGCTTGCGACTACGTGACATTTAGGGGGGATAGTGTCTGTAATACCTCAGACACTATAAAGTTTGTTCATCCGCACAATAAATGCCTTGAAGTGAAGACATTTTGTTTTCATTTCTCTTATTTACATATAAATATTTCATTTAAGAATGTTTCATATATTCATTCAAATCAAGGTCTACTGTCTAACAACGGAGTGGATCTTGCCAGTTTTACGCCGTACATACGATATACTATTGGTTGCTAAAACCCTTCTCATCTCCGCTCTACTTTTGTTGATTAGGGCTTTTATTTATACCATTACAACTGAAACGGAAACCTAGAGATGGAAAACAGTTACTAAGCGCAACCTATGTATGGATTTATCCATAAAATTTTTGTTAATTCTGTTATATATTAATACAAAAATGGAACACAAAAAAAAATGCCTCCATACCAGGGCAACCCTCTACCAACTGAGCTATAGATATAATCAGCAGATCATAAGAATTCTTCTCTGAGTTGTTACGGACAGATCTTTGTTTTAGGATTTAACGGACTTTTTGTCATAGTGCCACCAGTGAGAAATCCATGAAAACATTTTCTTCACTCAACCAGGTAGCGATGCGGGATTGCGAATGATTTTAATATTCGACTCGTTAGTAATTAATAATCCTGCCATTCGACTGACAAACTAATAATCTACTAATTTTCGTTATCGAATGATCTGAATGATCATTCATTAGGAATCCACAGATTCCATAGAGCATTTCTACCCAGCCCTCTCTGACGTCAAAGTCAAATAATCGTTTATTCCATAGGTAACATTTTTATACTTGGAAACGTCATTTTTTAAGCTACTGCTCGTTCACTACGCTGACCTCCCTGAAAAGAACGAGCAAGAAACTGTAGGGATTGCTCTTTTCAAATAAACTTAAATGCTATGGAATACACTTTGAATCATAATTGTGTGGAATCTAGACTCACGTTGTCTTTCCATACATCTTTATCTTACACGTAGTCTACAATTTCAATTGGAATACTTTTAATGTAAGTTTTAAACTTAGGAAATGATAAACTTAATATATGCTCCGGAATCTTATTAGAAAAACGTATACAGTACTCCATAAAATAATCGTTTACTTTAGTTAAACGAAAATGTGGTTCCATGAATTTATACTTGTTTTAAGGTTAATATAATGGATATCTTTTTTCTTAACAAAATTATGTACATTTTTTCGAGCATTCAAATTATTTGAGTAAATACACTATAATGCCACAGTCATGATACCAGTCTCCTTAAACTTTTCTCTGAGAGAAATCCGAGAACCTAAACGGTACACAGAACGAATCGCTCGTTTTTGCAACACAAATATGGTTTGTATATCTGCCGCTTTACCCCAAATGAGAATCCCGTAGGACATTATACTATGGAAGTAACTAAAGTAAACTACTCTAGCAGTACTAACATCGGTAAACTTGCGTATTCTGCGGACTGCGTATGCAGCGGAGCTTAATCTGCTGGCCAGGTAAGATATATGTGGAAACCATTGGAGTTTACTGCCTGAGGTCATTCCCTAAAAGACAGCTTTATTAACAAGGTCTAACTTTTCTCCATTTGTTTCTATGACATACGGTAAATACCGTAAACGTGATGGACACTGGGATATTTTGATACGGACATGGTGAGTGGTTCCGAGTAGTTCCGACATAATAATCATTTGACTCGAGTCGAATGATTGTGCTTGGATTCAACTTAGGCGAATAATTAGTATTAGTAACATTCGAAGTCGCACATCGCTACGACCAGCTTTACAGCTACCAGAAGTTGACAAGAGATCTCGCTTTATAAATTCTGTCTGTCTGTTAAACGTTTTTCTTTAATTGACAAATAATTTGCAGTCCAGAAATCGGGCTGTGGATGATGATGGTAAATAGTTTTCGATTAGTAACGAATTATCTTTAGTGCTAGACAAACACATAATTTACCTGGTCTCAAACTAGGGTATCACCTACCATAAGTATTTGAACAACAAAATCTACCGTGGCACTATTTGGAACATTGAGATCAGAACCAATTTGAAAAAAAATATTATAATAATTAATAAGGAGATCGAACACAGAGAAAAAATTATGCCTTCATAATACCATAGCTGGAGCTAAACTACGGAACGAACCAACAGACTTCACGAATATTTCTGTGTGCTTGTTGCAATTTTTGGTTCGGAAACTTTCAAATTCCAAATTAGTTCCATCTAAAATTGCAAAACTTTTTCTTTAGCACCCATAGTGCTAACTGCTATAGAAATAAATAAATAAACAATTTTAAATAGTTTTATGAATCTCAAGGGTTTGTTCTAAATCGACGTCGAATGTTTATTTTGAGCTATCCCATTTTAGAAGAAACTCCATAGAATTATCATAATAATGGTATTCTCTATTCGACTAAGCAGCACCGGTACGCAAGACGGCGTTTGACGGATGGAGTAACTTCCCTTTGTGTCCATGTAAGGTATCGAATTACAAAGACCTCCATTCATATTTATGTTCTAAGATTATCTTACGATACACAGTTATTGAAGGTCGATTTTTAGGTAATCTGAGGCTAAATTTTAATTCATAACTAAACACATGCTAGCACCAGAACTAGTGGAGAAGTAGAAAAGGTTGCCCGAAGATGTAGTTTCAGCTAAAAAAAGCAACCAGTTTAAATATAAACAGGGCAATTATTTATAATAAAAAACCAAAACAGAAACTTAAATTGTGAAGGTGTCAACCTAATACATCCGCTACCGATAGTATCAATTGCTTAACGATTATAATAATAACAGTATGGGGTATAATATAACACTTTGAACCTAACACAGGTTCATGCAAAAAAAAGGACTGAGCCGTTTGGTTCAGGGTGATGACGAGCTCAAATACGCCAACCCTGTGGGTGGACACCCTGGGTCCCTGGAATCTACAGGTTAATCTCTTCACAATTCACCTCTTTGAAGCTTCACGTGATCAAAAGACTAGCTGCTCCGTTCGCAAAGAATAATATTAGCCATCCTAATGGAAAACGTCGTCAATCTCCTGGAAATATTCCCTCAAAGCGCGGACACAGAAGAAATCTTCAACCTTTAAATATATGAGTTAAAGGTAAACAAACAAAACAAACCAACGTTTCAGGTTCATTACAGGTCTGATTGACAAATACACACGCTTTGGATCCGAAAATATAGTTCATTTCCCGTGTGTAATAATTGCAAAAATTTAAGAACTCGATATTTGTTATAATTATTAATACAAAGATCGAACACTTAGAAAAAATTCCTTCGATCCAGCCGGATTTGAACCAACGTCTTCTAGCAAATCGTGCCAGACGCTATACCAACTAAGCCTTGGAACGAACCAGGGACCTCACGAATTTTTCTATGTGCTTGTTGTCGTATCTTTGTATTTGGTTTTTCAACGACTTTTTAACCGTATTAATACTTTTTAAAACTTTATTTCACAGTATATATTAAAATTACGTTGCTTCAAAAAAATACTGAACGTAATGGCGCTTGATATAAGATCGAAATTTTCCTTCTGTGTAATGCTAAAAAACTAGGCATAGACTTCGAAACTTGCAAATACAAAATTTACAAAAATTAAGTAATTCTACAGTATCGTAATTATATAGTCGAATGACTCTAAAGCTTAGACTTTAGAAAATGGTCTTTTAGCAATAAAGTATACTGATATCTTACCTCCAAGATCTCATCTCCAACTTTAACCGCTGGCGAGGCCTTCGCCGCGGCTCCGGAAGGATGCAGCCCGCATACAAACACGGCCATCCTGCTCCTGTCTCTATGACCAGCCAGTGACAACCCCAAGCCTGCTTTGGACGACCTCTCCAGCTTAACTGCGACCACGCTGTCGCCAAGTGAAGCATACTTCTTACGGATTTTATCTGCAACAAGGAGCAAACGTTGTTGTTAATAGTCGATAGATGGCGTTGTTTAGAAAAAAGTGAGTGAATTTTGTAATTTCATCAATTTACAAAACAGACCCAGGGTGACGGGCGCAGTGGCAGTGTCACTCTGATCTTTGTGGTTGCTTGGCACTGCAATTGTTATTGACAAAGTTGTGCCTACTTTTACTATGTATTATATTATATTTAGGTACCCATATCTAACAGAACTGTAATAAGTAGGTATGTATTGACAGGACCAATTGTTGTATCATAAAAAAAGATGTGTAGACTGTGACTTTGTTCTTACTTACTTAAGGTAAAGGTACCACTCTGAGTGAAGAAATAAATTTCTCACAGATGGCGCTACAGCAAAAAAGTCGTTAAAAACCAAAAACAAGGATCTTCAATAAGAGAAAAATCCATAAGGTCTGCTGGTTTGTTATTAATAAGTATAACTGATATTATAAATACATCAATTACATTTCAATTAATGTTACAGTCTACTAGTAAATTCTAGAAACGTATATTATAATATTTTTATTTTTTATTTTTGAATCAGTTTGTGTGTATCGATTTTATAGATAGATTAATTATATTTTCGCATAATTTCAAACAACAATAATTTTGTTAATATTTCATTGCATATTGTTGTAATTGCATGCTGCGATGTTTTAAACTATTGTGTTCGATATTTAATGTGTAGTGTTTTTCTATGTGGCATGTCCTATATAAATAATTAAAAAATAGCAAACTAACGGAGTAATTTCACAAAAATAATTAAATGTCATGGTATACTTTTCAATAAATTTAAAACTAGAGTGATATACTTCTTAAACAAATATTTCACCATTGTTGTTGTTCAAGAAGCATACAAAAAACGACGTACAATTCAGCTATTCAATATAACTAAGACATATAATAATTAATCTAGGCAGTAACAATGCCCTGGCATACTTGAATAGCAATTATACTGCGAACGCTAACTCACCTTTCAGGCTCGGCAATTACAGCAAATCCATCTTTAATGGAAAGCTAACCCATTACATGCTGATGTGAATTAAATTAACAAACTTTTCATACTAAAAACTCGAGTAAAAGTACTTTTACACGAAAGTGGACGGATATAAAATAAATTAAACCAACATCAGCAATCTCTGAGGTCCCAGATACGATCCCTGGCCGGGTATATGTAGAAAACTAATTTATATATCGACTCATCCGAAGAACAGAGTCCGATGTGATTATATAGCAAAAAGAGAATAAGTACGTTACGCGAACAATTTCGTTATTCAAACTAAGTCCTATGTAAAAGTATTTTGAGAATTTATATATCTTACTTCGTTTGGGAAATATAAAATCGAACAAAGGTCGATCTGACATCCACAGCGAAGAAGAACGAACGAAATGTACTATGTCCTGAGAACAAGTAGTCTTACACATAGACCTTTGTTCTACGGATGTGTCGATATACTAACTCGGTTCTGGTTGTGTCTGGTTCCGTCGTTGTTTCCGGTTTCAATGACACAAGTGACACTTTATCGGGTTCTTTAGGTTTTTGCGATTGTTACACATAGGAAATGAAACTATTTTTCCGCGTAAACATGTCTGCAGTCTGCGAGTCATGGATAAACTTACATATTCAATCAAATTTGGCAAACCCACCAGGTTGGGAAGTACACCAGTCTCAAGCAATATATTTTAACAGAAACAATTTTTTTGTATAAGGTTCGCGAGTGGAAAAAACCCCTAGAGGATGGAAAAAAAGGAAAAACCGCACGGACATCTTGAACGAACCATTGTAATGAATTTGTGTTAAATTAGGAACACAGCCTTATAATTTTCATATGCTAATTATCTCTGATCTACTTTAAATATTGCATGTCAGAAATTACTAAATGTGTGAAATAGCATTCTGTAGACGTTATCGTTAAGTATTGTACCTAAATGAATTTGAATCTATAAATATCGCACCCTTAGTAATATAAGGGCACAATCCAAAAAAGTAGATTTTTGGGAAATCGCGTATTAAGATTCTGGATTCCTACATTACACCTATTTTTTCAAATAACATGCTTATTATTTAAGTTATAAATATGAAATTTGGCAGATTTGTTCTTTGATAAATGTATTATAAATAGCAATAAAAAAATAAATAATATAAATAAATTCCATAAGTTTCAAGCAAGTTAAAAAAACACTTTCAAGTTAGACCCATATAGTACAAAAAATATAACAGAAATATGGAGCTATTTAAGTTTGATCCCATTTATTATTTAAGTCCCTATCAATTCCCAAATTTCCCAAAAATCTACTTTTTTTGGATTGTGCCCTTATATTACTAAGGGTGCGTGTCAAAACCCTTTTTGCTGCTCTTTTAACAATAAATATTTTTGTATATATAATATGTAGACACATATGTAACTATGCACAAAAGTATCACCAAGTGGTGACACTTGACCCGTATTGTCAGCTAACAAAGAACTCGCATTAGACGCGGCTATTCGGGAAAATTTTTCTCAAACTCAAGGTTTTATTAAATTTCTTCTTGTGTAGCATATTGTACTTAATATTAGTTTCAAACCGCCTTCGGAAAGGAGGATGTAAGTACATTTTTTATGAAGGTTCAGGCATAAGTTAGACAAACAAGCATTATAGGTTAAAATATTTTCGTTCGGAAAAGAATATCTCCAGGGTCTTATATATATTTTAACCGACTTCAAAAAAGGAGGAGGTTATACGTTCGGCTGTATTTATGTTTTCCGATTTCTTCACCAATTGTAGACCGATTTTGAAAATTCTTTTTTGTAATATCGTGGTGGTCCCATGGAAAACAAGGAAAATCTTCAAATTTTATAGAAATGTCAGTGTTCTCATTGAATTCTCCGTCAATTGTAAACCGATTTTGAAAATTCTTTTTTGTTTGAAAGGGTATACTCTCGAGGTGGTTCCTGATGCCGAGAGTTGCCGTTCCGGGTTAATTTCGGCTATCACAAATTAAATTAAATATTTTCCGCAATTAAAAGCCGATTTTTCACTTGACACAATATACGTAATCAAGAAATCACCGTCACCCTGACAACCAGAAAAAAGTATGAAATATACAAAGGAGTCCGTAATAATTCAAGAACAAACAATTTTCCATATGACGATCTCTATCTAGCGGTTGGCACTATAGACGCTAGGTAAGGAGGCTTGGATTCTCAGTAGTACCAATTTGAGAAACTTTTCTAAATTGGTTCTGGTTTGAGAGTTCTGGGTAGTGTCTTTGGACTCCTTGACTCTTAATAATAAAAAGGTAAATATAAAATGGTGTAGTTGTTTGGCAAATTCTTATTGTTATCTTTATATCATCTTCACCATTGACCTCATACGTCTATGTCACACTGGTCGGATGTTTGTGAGGGATTTTTTTCATGATTGCATATCCTGGTGCGGGAAAAGCTTTTTCTCTTTTACTAGTGACCGAGGGAACCAGTGACAGAAAAGAATCGTACCCGAACATACATAAAAATCAGGGTTCGGTATTATTAAAATTTATTTATTTATTTATTTATTGCATTGTCACACTTATTAATAATTTACGTACAGTGGTTTGTAAGTGTACATGTGACACCCTATAAGGGCACAGCAAAGTAGAGAGGGCACTCACTTATTATTAAATATAATGGTTTACAGTCATATGTCATCTTATAAAGGTACAATCATATTATTTATGATGACTTATTCAATATGGTAAACACCATATTAAATAAATCATATTATCATATTATTAATCATATTATTTATTTTCTTAAAAATGATAATTATTATCATGATAATTATTATTATAATTACCAATATCTCTCCCTAACAGTGAATAAGAACATCGTGATGAATGATCATGAAAATCGAAATGACCTGAATGTCGAAGGAGATTCAAACGACGGGACAAACAAGTCATGCTCCTGATGGTAAGCCACACCTATTCATAACAGTTGTCGTGCCAAATAGGGGCACTACCACTGAGCCCGTCACCCTGAGACATTATGTTAACAAGTACCATGTGTCTGTAATTTCACCAGCACCCTTACCCTTCAAATGTTCACATTACTGCTTGACGGCAGAAATGCCAGCCGGCATTACTATTCAGGACGAACTCTTTCACAAGAAGTTCTATTGCTACTATATGTGGCGAGGCGTCCATATAACTCGATTCGATATTTTATAGTAATTTACTATGTTTTGTGCTCTATTTTAGGTGTAGAGTAACTTAACCAGTGAAATGAAGTGTACTAGTATCTTGTGTGCTAATAGAATGTTTCAGCGTCGCCAAGGCGCCACTTTTTGTGGTTTATGTTTTGCTCCGGCTTTACTGACGACAATTTTCACGCCCCACCACTGCTACCCTGTCAATTGATTATGAAAACATGTTGTCAAATTTCTAGTACCCAATTCTGTTGTTTATTTGAACTTGATGTTTGTTCTTTTATGTTTACTGTAGTATACTTGCATACGAGTGATGTTGGGTTGTATGTCAATAATTGCATAGAATTGTCAATATCACACATTGACTTCAACATTTACGCAACGAAAAAACAGTAAACGTTTAGTTATGTGTAGGTTGCGGTCGTTTTGAATAAACAGCTCAAAGGTCAGTCGCCAAAATGAGAAATTAGCTAATAACCGAATTAGTGTAACGACATTTTCTTAACATACAGAAAAACTTTTATTTGCCGATGGGACTTGAACCTACGACCATACAGCACCGTAGTACTGCTTTTGCCAACTGAGCTACGGGTCAAGTTATCGAGTTGTCGAAGTTCTCCTATGTGTTTTTATTAAAGATCTCTGTAATGGGGTTTCGGCATTCAGAGCCGTTAATGACATCTAGCGAGAAACCTGCACCATAGCCATTCTTCACCGCAGCTGTTCTTTATCGAAAAAATAATGCATATAACCGGATATAACCGGGGAATTTCATTGTGACTCTCCATTTCGGTAATTTAGTCGTCAAATAA